ATAATTACAAAACCACAATATTATTCCTTTAACATTGTAATAACGTTCCGCAACATTTTTTTTTAATATTTGGTCATTGTACTGATTTTCCTATAAGATAAGGAAAGGAATTACAAGCATGAACTGTCTCTAGTGATATTTATAAGATGTGGATCTGGCAGTCAAGGGGACTTAATCACTGTGATGAGACTGCTGGATTAAGAAATCCTGATGTAAACAGACCAGTTTAATTCTTTATATAAACAGCTGGGCAGACAGAGATCTGTGTTTGTCAGCCATACTGAGGTCTCCAAGGGACCATGAGGATGAGATACATCAATAATTGCAATATCGCCTGACAATCAGATGGCAAAACTACTGTCATTTATTAATTCGCAGGCAAGCATTTAACTCTATGCACCCTGGAGGTTTCCTCCCGCCCATACAGCAAGCATTCCAAGGGACGGCACAGGATTCTGCCATCCACCTTTCAGAAATAGGTTCCGTCATGTCAACTCATGGTTTTAGTTCCTACATTTAAAGATGAACTCCAGGCAAACAGTTTAATAAACAGAAAAAAAATGTATACTGTCTTCGGGATCTGCTTTACCTTTAAAAGTTTTTGTATTTCTAATCCTGTTTTGAGATTTCTACTGCTCTGCTATAGAGCAAAGCTCTGCCAGGGACTGCAGGAGACCTGATTTTCCTCTATTGCACTTAAAGCGGAGCTCCACCCAAAAGGGGAAAATGCTTTAAGGACTGCTCCCCCACTCCCCATTAAGGATTGGCACCTTTGGGGGACGGAGGGGAACGGGTACCCGAATTTGACAATGGAAGGTGTCCTCCCTCCCTCCCTGCCTGTAGTCTTTTGGGACAAGTGACAGGCACCAGAAGACTACAGGACCATTCATGAAGCGCAGTGCTACTCGCGCCTACACAGTGGGTACTAACTGTTCTGTATCTGCCATCCCTCTCTGCCAATCCCTCCACTGGCCTCCACTCAGTGTCCTCCATCCCTCTCTGCCAATCCCTCCACTGGCCTCCACTCAGTGTCCTCCATCCCTCTCTGCCAATCCCTCCACTGGCCTCCACTCAGTGTCCTCCATCCCTCTCTGCCAATCCCTCCACTGGCTTCCTATTTCCCAACAGATAAAATTCAAAACATTAAAAATAACATATAAAGCCATTTATAACTCTGCCCCAAATTACATCACCAATCTTGTCTCTAAATATCACCCAAACAGTACTCTCCACTCCTTGCAAGACCTCCTACTCTCTAGCTCCCTTGTCTCCTCCTCCCATGCTCGTCTCCAGGACTTCTCCAGAGCTTCCCCCATCCTCTGGAACTCTCTACCCCAATTTATCAGACTATCGCCTACTCTGCTCACTTTTAGGCGATCTCTTCAGGGAATCCTATCCTGCCCTCAGCTAATACTGGAATCTTCTACTCTTCCAACCAGTCCATCCCCCACAGTTACTACTTTTTGTACCACTAGCCCCTCCCTCTTAGATTGTAAGCTCCCAGGATCAGGGCCCTCCTATCCCTCTTGTATTGAACTGTATTGTTGCTGTATTGTTTCCCATTATATTGTAAAGCGCTGAGCAAACTGTTGGCGCTATATAAATCCTGTATAATAATAATAATACTCGGCTGTGAAGCCGCAAGCTATCACAGCCGGGTGCCCACACTGAAGATGCTGGCCTCCTGGAATACAGGACGGCCAGTGAAATGGACTGCAGGGGAGACACCACGGGACCGAGGGACAGGTAAGTGGCTGTTTTTTTTAAAAGTCAAAACCTACAGTTTTTGTAGATGCTGACATTTATTTTTTGACAGGGTGAGTGGAACTTCGCTTTAAGTAACGCTTAAAGGTCTTGTGACTGGACAGTGAAAGGAGAAGCAGCAGACTGATGAGATCATCACTCTACTCTCTCTTCCTATTACCATGCTCCATGTTAGCACAAGAGCACTGCAGCACACCTACAGAGTAACATTAAAATTGAAGTTAATCTGCTTTTATTTGCCTTCCTTGGTTTCTCCCACCCCTCTAATCAACATGCTAATGACATTTTATTTTTTTAGATAAAACCTGTTTTCATGGCATACTATGAGATTTAGTAATGTCATCACTGGGTCTCTGTGATTCACTATGCAATGCAGGCAGCACATGGTTGGCAGAAGATGCCTCAGTACATCACAGCTTCCTGAAAACATCACAGCATGCTGGCTCAGAACACCTCTCAAGAGTCCTCAGCCCTGATGCAAGCAGTGGGTTAGCTCTTGGAAGCAGTTATTCAAATCTAAAAATTCCTTGGTGGCTGGGTGTCAGTTTGGGTGGGTGGGTGTTCCTGGGCAGGCTTTATTTGTATTCAGGCTGCCTCAGGTAATGCCTGCATGTGATGTTGAGTCTGAGAACTAAAATCGAATGAAAGGGGTGTGCAAGGGGCTGCCAGGATGGGGAGGAAAGAGCTAGACGATTATGGATGTCTTCAAGATAGGAAACGAGGGGGCCTTGATCTGCAGCTTCTAATGCATATTGTAAGCAATGTTTTAGAACAGGAGAGGAAAAAGGTAAGAATGGAGTTCAGATTTAATTTTTGTGTCTGTCTGGGGTTTAGCTTTAAAGAATGCCTTCATCTAAAGCCATTCATTTATGTTGCATTAATAATCAGCAGGGAAAGGCTCCTACCCGGCAACAAATACTACCCCTGATGCATGAAGAGAAGCCTAGTGGATGCAAGCTTTGTACATATTAAAAAAGTATGTGCCTAGGCCCTCCCCTGCATCCCACAATGCACTGCAGGCACGGATCAGAGGCTCCAGCATGACATTAAAGCGGAGTTCCACTCACTCTGTCAAAATATAAAAGTCAGCAGCTATAAAAACTGTAGCTGCTGACATTTAAAAAACAGCCACTTACCTGTCCCTCGGTCCCGTGGTGTGTCCCCCGCAGCTCGTTTCATCAGCCGTCCTGTATTCCAGGAGGCCGGCATCTTCAGTGTGGGAACACGGCTGTGACAGCTTGCGGCTTCACAGCCGGGTATCCACTGCGCATGCGCGAGTAGCGCTGCGCTTCATGAATGGTCCTGTAGTCTTCTGGGACCTGTCACGTGTCCCAAAAGACTACAGGGAGAGAGGGAGGACACCTAGGCGATCGGACTGGAAGTGGGAGAGGGTCAAATTGGGGTACCCGCTTCCCCCCCCCACTGCCCCCCAAAGGTGCCAATCCTTAATGGAGAGCGGGGAGCAGTCCTAAAGTGGAACTTCCCCTTTTGTGTGGAGCTCCGCTTTAAGGTTTATCAAGAACAAAACATTTTTTTTTTTCTGTTTACCGCCTATGGACCTGACAGTGGGAAGTTTTACACACACTCCCGGTGTCTACAGTCATATCTGTACATCTGACAAGCAGATTCCTGCTTTCAGCCTCCCCCCTTATAACAGCACCCCCTACTCCTGTGCCCCCGTTATGTATCCTGGACTCCACTTGAACATCTGTGGTCTCGGGACCAACACTGCGGGTGCTGCTGGGAAGAGGGGAGGGAGCAGAGTGGACAAACGTCCATTCTCCTCCCCTTCTTGTTGCTGACCTGGAAGTGACATGGAAAATGTCACTTCCAGTCCCCATCTCAGTAGGGTACAGGGGCGGACTGACAACTCATAAGGGCCCCCAGGCAATAGGGGATCATGGGGCCCCTGTGTCCTTGCCCAAACTCAAAAAAGCCTATGAAAGAGGTACTAGGGGCATCTCATGGGGCCCCCTACTGACCCCGGGCCCTCGGGCAGTGCCAGAGTTTCCAAATGGTCAGTCCGCCCATGGTAGGGTATTGAAGTTTATCACCATTCTACAGGCACACGGATATTTAATGTTTGACATGTTGGGTATCTATTTACTCGGTACAACCTCATCTTTTATATTTTAGCAGAACATCGAGTAATTTGTTCATTTCTGTGCCCTAACGTTAACTTCAGTGTATTCTTTGCGGTAATATTCTGTGACATAAAAAATTGCAACTATCACTGTTTTATTCTCTAGGGTGTCTGCTTTCAGAAAATATGTTTTGGGGGTGTTTGTAATCTTCAGGCATAAAATAATTTTTTAAACATGTGCAAAAAAATGCAAAAATGGCTCTGCCAGTGAAAAGGTTAAAACCTTTTTAATTGGACATCCTGTTGACTTTTATAATTTACATGTAAACACTAAGTCCCCAGTCACACTGTGTGCGACATGGCATGCGATTTGCATGCCATACAACTTGCAAATCGTATGCCAAGTCGCACCCTATTGTCCGCAATTACAGTGGTCATGTGGGTGTGGTTCCGATTTCTAAAGTAGTGCATGCACTACTTTTGGTGCGATTTGCATGGACATCCGTGTCAGATGTCTTACAAATCACACCTCAAATTGGCATCCCAACCATGGCACCACCTGCCTGGAGTTTGCATGTTCTCCCTGTGCCTGCGTGGGTTTCCTCCGGGTACTAGGGTTTCCTCCCACACTCCATAGATATGCTGATAGGTGAATTGGCTCCTGTCTAAATTGGCCCTAGTATGTGTATGTATGAATGTAAGTTAGGGACCTTAGATTGTACACCCCTTGAGGGTTAGGGACTGATGTGAATGTACAATATATATGCAAAGTGCTGCGTAAATTGACGGCGCTATATAAGTACCTGAAATAAATGTCATCCGACTTTGAAATTGTGTGACTTAACTGTAAGTCGTATGATTTCAAAGTCGGGATCAGTGTGACCGGGAGAGAGTTTGCAGGTTTGGGAACCACACCGAAATCGCATTTGTTTCTGCGGGAAAACAGGCACAGCAGCCCAATCAAATAAATGGGCTGAGATGCCCACGCAAACACAGGCCGCAAACCTGCTAAGGTGTGACCCTAGCTAAAACCCGCCAACTTCACCATACCGGCTTCTCTGGCAATATTTCTAGCCATTCGGCAAACAGAAAAGGAGGAACTGATGAAGGATAAGGCATTATATAAAGTTCAGAGTACTTGCGAACGACTTAC